CCAGATAATCTTCCCTTGGGTTTCTCCGGTTCCTTCCAATATCCAGAAACTCTCGGATTTGCTCAATAGCAGCCACAGGGTCCCCTCCCATGTTGTAATTTCCTGCATGTATTAAAAAAAGTAAGGATTATGTTCCCAAAAGAGTGACAGGGCAGATTGATACATGCCAGCTAAGGTGTGAAGAAATGACATTATTGGTCAGGGCCATAAAAAGCTGATGGAAAGAGTTAGAAATCATGGCAGCATTGGGAGACAAGCATTCTCTTTGACTTCTCCGACTGGTAAGAGAAGTCCAGAGGTAGCCATGAAGCCAAAAGACTAAACAAGGAATCATTCACAGAGGGATTGGGGAGTGGCCAGGGAGGTGGACAATCACCCAAGAGGTCTGCGTGGTCATGTGGACTGAGGGAGTTGCACATTGAAAGCCTATGGTTTAGGGGAAATGGAAGGGTTGGAGACTTTCATGGAGAAGTTCCCTCTAACCATCAGTCATAAGCACGATCACATGGCGTGTTTGATTCCAATTATAGTCATTTTTGGACGACTCCTGTGCGATCATCATCTCATATAGCAGTGTCAACGCCCGTTTTGTGTTCGTCCCTGACTTTGATTCGTGGTCTGCAGGGAAGAACAAGATTATCATCCCCTCCCCTCAAGCCTCTGGTCACAATCTTCTGACCCACCTCGCAATCCCCTCTCCTTCCTCTCTACCTGATAGACCTGCTTCTCCCCCATGTCTTCTACCTAACCACCAACACAACATATGACTTCCTGATCCCCCTGTAATACTGCTAATTTCCTCTGACCTCCATAGGAACATCCTCCAACCCCCATGGGCACGGGTGGCTAGACCTTTATATTGGATCTTTTCCAGCTGCTGGGTGACCCAGTCTGCATCACTGCTTCGCTCATCTGACAGTCTGACCACAGCTTTGGCCTCCGTGGCATAGGTCACCACTGCATACCGTGGCTTCACACCATAACTTGCCACCTGGCAAGAGAAGGAAGATACTGGGGTGACTCAAGAAGTAACAGGAAGAAGCATCTACTGGGTTAGACAGTTAGCCAGGATGTAGAGGACCCATGGTTAATAGGTGGTTCAGGGTCTGAGGTCTTAAAGCCAGCAGAATTTGGGAGAATCTAGGGAGTAGGGTGGCATGATGGACTGAGGGGAGAGAAGAATAGAGGCATGGGCAGGCTGGAGGGAGCACTTCTGCACTTCCTTAAAGCCCAGCTCTGTTGCCACCTCTTCTATGAACCCTTTCCTCATCATCCCAAATCAAGAAGGACCTTCCCTATCTGACCACTCACAACACTTTGTTTCGGGCCTCTTTGATGTACTTATTACCTCACATTGTTATTATAGTTAACTGTGTCTGCATCATCTCTCCCATCCCTAGACAAAGCTCCAAGATGCCAGGAACTGAGCCTTATCCAAAATTTCTCCCCATGTGTCACACAGATTTCTTAATTAATGCTTAATAAATGTTTGCTGATTTGAAGGAGAGGCAGCAGGAGGCCTTTGGGATTAGTCTCAGGCTGCCCAAGGAGTCACCACCTTTTCAATGAGGCTGGTAAAACACTTTTTGGCCCCTGTGAAGTTGTTCTTGCCAATGCTATCTGATGCATCTAGCACTAGGTACATGTTCATGGATCCTGAGGGGTCCAAGACAATCTTCCGCTTCTGTTGCTCCCCTAAGAGGGAAACAAAGTATAGAAGGCTTGGAAACTGCTCCCCCAGTGTGCCCACCTCCCTCTTTCCCTAGATTCACTTGCTCTCCACTCTCCTTCCTGGGACTTTGTCCCAAAAGTTGCCCCTCCACTAGTTCCCGATATCTGTACACACACACACACACACACACACACACACACACACACACACACACACACACAC